TGCTGGGGTTGTAGGCGAAGAACTTGGCGAAGGCGTTTCACCATCATGTTGGATTTCAATGTTTGATTTTTTTGAAAAGACTAGCCAGATGGCTGGAAAAGTGGCAAGAGGTCTACTGTGCAAGATGTTTGCAGCAAAGTTTTGTAGTTCAGCTAGTTCAACTTGTAGCCGGAAGTGCGAAATGAGGCTGCGCAACTGGGGGAGAAGAGTCGGCAGCACCCCTTGTCGACTTATTCGTACGTTCTTCAAACACCTGTGTATTTAACCCATCACAAATACACCCAAATGAGAACTGTCTGCTCAACAGTTCTGTGCAAATTTGGTTTGATCAAAACCCTCAGTTAATCTTTGTCAGTCTCCGATATCCGACCTTCACCCTAATCTTCTTCGAAGCTTTCATCATCGCGAGAAAGACATTTTGAATCACGACTGCACAGCGTATTTTTTTGTGGATTCGGGCCAAATGCTCAGTTGATATCCCGACTTTCTTTAGCACTTTTCCGACCAAATATGAGAAACTCGTGTAAGACAGCCTGTAGAGTATGTTGTATTCAAAACTTCAAAAAAGAGGGGAACAGTGTTCCAGGGTTGAGAAAACGGTAGATTTAAATAGAGCGAGAAACAAGCTTTTTGTTGGTGAAGTGAAGTGGTAGCAGTTTCTTAGAAGTGATCCAGAAATGAGGCGTTTAACCCATTCGTGACAATGGCAGCCACCGGTGGCTGACAAAGATCTCACTCGGGACAATGGTATCCACCGTTGGCTGCCGGTTTCAAATGGAATTTGGAAAGTTTTCTTCCATGAAAAGAATCTTCATACCCTCATTCATCTACGCCAGCCCTGGGCAGAGGAAATCTCCATCCACTCAAATTTTATTGAAGAAAAATCTCCTGACTCTCTGCTATTGCGCAATCCCGCGCGGTCGCGAATGGGTTAAAAGTGAGTTGCTAAAAACGACAGAAACTCTCCGAACAACCCAGTATTTCATGTGCGAGCCTCCCACAAAAACATGGCAGCCAAGAAGAAGGCGAAAATTTGATGTGATATTGAGAGATCCAAGAATCGTTGATAAGAAAGAAGCAAAAAGCAAAAAAGAGTAATATGCTACCAAACATAGCAGAACAGAGAAATCTAGGGAACACAATCAACGCACCACTCAATGCGGCATACCATACGCCTCGCATCGGTCAACTCTTTCCTCATAGTGAATCAACGGTCGAACGATGTGATACCAGTGCTTTGGAACTTCCATTGAACCTTATTTACAAACAATGATCTGACAAATTTGCACGGAAGCATCGAATCTAGCATTATATTCGAAAGATCAAGTAGTTAACATAAGCTCACCTCAATAGCCTTGTGGTAAACGTCTGTTAAAACGTAAAGATTTCGGCTACTAGGAGTACTATAAGAGGTACTTTTCACCGGCACCGGTACTACTGTAGCGCGAAATGTTTTCCCTGAAAAAAACAGAGTTCAAGAAGGATTTCAGCGAAACATAAGTATTAACTTACTAAAAAAACAAATAATGCCAAATACCAGCCGAACCTAATTAAGTGTTATTACTTCGAACTTTCAACAAAAAATCAAAGACAAAAAATGAGCTGTAAAATACCCTTATCCCAAACCAGCCATAGCGCGCAGCTTACGTCAGTGTGTCATTCCGTGTACGCTTCTAAGAACCGCTTCGGACGCGGCCGGCTATCTAAATATGGAGAAAAAGTACCATTGCAAAGAAACTACCTCCAATATTGAATTCGGTTTACGCTTATAACGTTTACACAAAACAATGATAATGGATCGTTTCTGTCTTCTCTCACTAATCTTAGCGTTTGCCCCACCCTGTGGCGGGGTCCGCTTTCCTGGTATTACGACGCCACTTTTCCCGACTATGTGCCTGATCGGGGTGAAGGCCAACTAATTTCAAATCCTCATGCAACGTATCAAGCCATCGTTGCTTCGGGCGTCCTCTTGGCCGCTTTCCTGGCACGTTAAAGTCTAGACCGATCTTACGGACACTCTCATCATTAGCGCGAAGGACGTGACCGTACCACCTCAGGCGAGCTTCGCGCATCTTATCAGCGATGGGAGCCACACCGAACCGCTTTCTGATGGTATCGTTGCGAATGTGGTCTAAACGGGTAACCCCGGCAGTCCAGCGCAGCATTTTTGTCTCCATTACACTGAGACTTAAGGTTTAATGAACGGTCATGTGTGAAACAATGATAATGCCATAGATCTATACACAACCATTTACAGGCAACTGCAATAATAATTCATACTGAAATTAATCCGCATCTGTGCGACAAACACTGATCTAAATGACACTATACTCCTAACGCTACTATAAGCAGTCGATTGTCCGCACTTCTAAGGTTGCTTAATCCAAACAATTCCAACTCATCCCTACTCGGCGCTTAACATGTGAAAAGAAGAAATGTCAATCCCACCAACCTTGAACAATCTTTGTTTCTTAGGTTTTGAGCCTGGAGGTGTGCTACTCGAATGGCATGATGCTACGAGAAGACGTGCCAACGACGGAGCACGCCGCAGAACAGCTGAAAAGTAATAGAAGTTAGGCTACATTGTAACGGGCGGAACATTTCGTACTGCAGCATTTAAAACGAGAAAAAAATCGTTTTTTGAATTCAAACCAGTTGTTTTCAACTGCAAATGAACAGCTAAGCTAATAACTAACTATGAAAAAAATAGGGCAGCTTTCTCAGGTTTCAATACGACATCAAAATACCTGCCAACATTTTCTAACGCTTGCCTCACGCAACGTAATTAATAAACAAAAACATAAACAAACAAGGTTCGAGCTTAACGATGTTTTCGACGGATCGTGCCCATCACAACTTTGTCTGAAACCCATGTCGAGAGAAGTCCTGTGTGGTTGGAGCTACTGTCTCTGGGAAACTATTCACCACTGAATCGATGGAAAAAATAAAGTAGCTTCCAGGTTGGATCAGATGAGGTAGGTCTTCTTGAGCTCGACCGCGACGGCAGATTCGACGTGAGGGTGAGATAAATGCACAAAATGCCCATTTCTGCCTCCCCTTCACCTGTATACTGTTGAATAATAACTATGAAATCACACCATCTAATAACCGAAATCATCAGGTGATTACAGTCTAAATCAATAGTCAGAATGCCGCAAGATTGACTCCAATGGATCTAACAGGAAAAGTTTGAATGAACCCTTGCCAGCTCACGAGCTACACACGCAGAATGTAATCTTTGCTAGGCTCGCGTTGATGGAATCTTATCAGAAGATGCTCAAATAGCCGATTCTCCGCAAAATATTCGCAAAGATAGACTGATTACTATAGAAATCTATGGAAGCACTTTGTAAAAGCACTAGATCTCAAAAGTTTTCTTTCACTGTTGTTAGATATATGCACATTTACACCGATTGTGGGAACGATTAACATGTCCACTTTTGAGATCAATGGGCGAAAAGAGGCCTCGTTCCACGGTTCGTTTAAAATCCTTAATCAGGATCAAATGCACAAGTCTAATATTGAAAAGTAATGCCCACATGAAGGGAGCCTGTCATTGTACCTTATAGACAATCACAATTGTTCTGGTAATGAATGGACCCGTGTCAGCACACCGGCTAGTGAACGTTGTAAAGCTTGGCTCTTCAAAATCTCCATTCAGACCCGACCACCTTCTTCTAGGCGTTCATTCGCCATTTGTTGGCTGTTTTCCGTAGTTTCGCGAAGTATTACGTCGCAGAAAGTTCCAATTATCACTGTTCATGGATGATAAGGCCGTTTTCATGGGAAGCATTACGAAACATGAGAGGACCAAGACGCATCTATGTTCCTTCTAGAGTACTCCAAAAGCGCAGTCAAATCAGCCAATACATTTTCAACCCTTTCGCAGATTCGATCAATCGCCTAAAACGCTGAGTATGAACGTGTTCCAAACACACGATCCCTTTGGTCATATATGGGTCTGTCGTCCAGTCGTAATGATCGCACAGTGTTAGATACGTACGGATCGATCAATCCTCGGACTCGTCCGGCGATCGATACGCACCCAATGCTGTGCGATCGTTACGACCGGACGACCGACTAGAAATACGCCCTATGGCCGAAGCGCGAACCCAATACCCGGACGAGGGAAATTCTGACCATTTCTTGCCCATAAATAATGTCTATACTCCCAATCCCCACAAGTTCCAGTCCAAACAACTTAAAAATTCCCGGAAACCGAGCAATTCACCCAAATCAAATAGAGGGTTGAGTGTTGTTGAAGTCAGAAACCATCGATGGCTTTTTGTCTATTCCTAGTCAATGAACAAGAACCTGCCAATACGATGAGAACGTGGTTTCATAGATTTACAATAACAATAAGGGTCCATTCCAGTTAGGAGGGGCATTGCGGTGCACAGTCTGCTCTAATGCCAGTTTGGCTCAAGGAGTCCTTTAAAGTTACGAAGTGCTATCAGCTTTTTTCCTACGTTATTTCTTTCTTCTGTTTTTGTATAATGTATGTGTTCTTGTGCTTTGTAACATAAACGTCAATGAAAAGTAATATTTACCTAGTGATCAGCTAGGACTAAGCCTAGGAAGGGGGAGGAAATCCCTCCCCCGAGAAAGCGAAGATTGCTCACGAACC